GCTCTGTCTAGCTTCTGTGTCATTTTTTTGTGTGTTGTTGTATTGTCTTAGGCAGTAGAATTCTGTTGGAGTTGTAATCTTGTTATTATTGTGTGTTTAGAAGATGAAGAGAGTCTTCTTCTAAAGGCCTAATACTGATTTGCATTTTATCATATTGTTTTCTTTGAATCTGAGCAGGACATGTGAGATATGCGGTGCAATGGCTCTAAACGTGGCTGGCGAACAGTCAAACCCCGAGAGCACTGCCTCTGCCAATTCACAAGCAGCTGGAGGACAACAACCTCAAACTCAAACAGAGCCACTGGGAATCTGGCATGGTCGCCGTGTTATGAACTTCTTACTTGCCGCTATGGTCTTCGCCTTCATTGTTTCTTGGCTTTTTCACTTCAAAGTCCTCAAGTGAAACGATTTCCATCTCTCTCTCTCTTTGGCCTGCACCTACGCGCTCGCTCTTCTCCTGTTCTTGAGCCGCGCTTGCAATCGCTGAATCAAAATCCCTCCTGTTGCTTGATTATTCACACGTTTTGTAGCTGTAAGAACTTGGTAGTACTTAAGATTGTTGTGACTTGTGAGCTTTACTTACATCTTGTATAATATTCATCTCTACTCTGGCTTGGTGAAACCTCTGTGTGATCATGAGGCATAACATCTTTGGCTTCGAAGACTGCTAATAGATAAAATACTGGACAATAGTTGTGTTAAAATCTGTCTTCTCTTTTACCACTCTTTAGATTACTAGCAGATAAAGGATCTTGGACATAAACGAGAAAAGATACTTCTTTTCTTGATTCAAATCACATATGAATCATCTCTTTAAATCGGAAACCACAAATGTAGCATGAGCTGAGCTCAAATGCTTCAAAAACCAAAAGACAATGAGGCATTTTTTTTTTTTTTTCAGAATCCAATCAGAAAACAGAAGAAAACGAAAGAAAGAAGAAACCTATACACTTGAAGTTTTCAGTTTCTGTTGTTCTTTTTCTTGGCTTCCAAGGAAGTTCCATCTTTTAGGGTTTCGCAAGCGTCTTTATCCATTCCAAGGCTGAAGAGAGCAGCAGCTTGAAGATAGAAAGCAGTTGGCCACTCGGGAGAGACTACTTGCGCCTGCATTGCATCACCAAGAGCCTCTTGAGGCATGTTGCTCATCAGATAACACAAACACCTCCTTGCAAAAACCGTTGGCGATACCATTGTGCCATCTTCGATGAACTACAGTTACAATTAGGGGACGCAGAACCACAATATTGAGATAAGTTTTGGGGGGAATTATGTTTCTGGGTTTCAAGAAAGTAACCGACTTTTAATTCCTTACCTGCGTGTAACATTCGATGGTAGTGACAAAGTCTTTTCCTTTGAATGCAGCATCTCCTTGTTTCTTGGAGTTTAGAGTCTCCTGAATCTGGTCGGTCCATACTTGGAACGAGAGCTGTATTGCAAATGAAACAATGATCATCTTGTTAAGTTCATCAGACAAATAAAGATGATGATCTCAATGGAAGACTACTGAATGATATGCATTCTGCAACAAAATTCTACACTATAAGGTCATCTACATACCTCATTTGCTATGCCCTCATCGTCTTTGTATCCAACCTTTTCAAGAATTCCATGTATCGCGGTGAGATCAAGTCTTGAACAAGCATCGCCAAGAGGAGTTAAAGAACTTGTTTCCTTTGGAGAAGCAGTTCCATGTGGAATCCCCAATAAGATATGAGACGGAACCTGAAAAAACAAAAAGATACATAAGAAGAAGAGACAAGATTTGAATGGTTAATACATAAAAGGAAGGTGATTTAGTGAACGCGTACGTCAGTTTCCTTCTGAAGAGGAGCAAGTGAGGCCACGAGAGATTTCACATTCGGCCTTTCACGAGCTTCATACTGCAAACAACGGGAAGCTAAGCGAACCAAATCGGTTCCATCATCGTTTGAGAAATGACCGTCGAGACATGAGTCCATCAGCATCAGGAAGTTCTTCCCACGAATCAGATCAAGCGCCTGCAGAACAATGGCAGAGCATATGAATTCATAATCTAAACTTTTTTTCTTCCAGTTTAAGAAGAATCTAATAGATAAAGATCTTCTTCCCAAGAGAAGTTGAGCCATGTTTATGTGCTTGTGAATATGCACTTACATGGCTTGGTGGTATGTGTTTGCCGCTGAGAAGATCTAGCAACAACGTTCCAAAGCTGTAGACCACACTCTCTGGAATCACTCTCCCTGTAAGAAATTAATAAACAGACGTCGATTCATCAGATGAATATGATAACTTTGTCAAACAACAAACACATAACTTGACGCCATTGCATCTCATATCCGGTAACTGACCAGTCCTTAGGTACTCAGGAGGTGTGAAAGCCAAATTTGTACTGTAACTCTTCCCATCCCTACTATTCTTCATTAGACCGAAGCAAGATAATCTCGGGTTACCATCCTGTTATCCAGATCATAGAAAACATTATCAGAAACCTTTAATCGCAACTACATGAATCTAATCACAATTAGAACAAGAAATCAGAAATGATAGTAAGCTAGAGATGGACCTGGTCAAACAAGATCCTGTAAGCATTGAGATCGTGGTACAAGGCGCGACCTTTACTGCTGCAATACTCGAGTGCTTGTGCAAGATACAAAGCCACTCTTAACCTCATAGCCCACTTCATTGGCTGGCTATCCCCTGCATATCAACACACATCAGTAACCAATAACTGTTAGTCGAAATTGGAAACCTCAAACCAATAGTATCTAAAGATGTTTCTTTAACTAGATATGATACATGAGCATTTTAAGATCTTTCAATCCTCTCTAAAAAAAGATAGAACCAAAAACAGAAACTTCAACTAAATCTCCTAAACACCAAACAAGTATAAGACTTTTGCTCATCTCATAAAAAACTGAAGAAAAGCCTTACAGTGGAAGAGATGCTTAGAGAGAGTTTCAAAAGGCATAAACTCTGCAACGAGCAATCTCTCATCTCCTTCACAACAAAATCCTATCAAATTGGCCAATCTCTCATTCCTCAACTGCCCCACAGCTTTTGCTTCCTCCTTAAAGATCAATCAAATGAAACAGTAACACAATCAAAAACCTAACGAGATCAAATCCCAACAAATGCAGGGTTCTGTAAAGTTTCGATTTTGATAAGACCCATCAAGGGAAATGAGCAAAGGAATCAAATTTGTACAAGAAATTGACGAGTGTCAGGCCAAGCGGATCTGTTGAAGCGTTTAACAGCGACCCATCGGTCATCTTCGAGCCTGCCTTTATAGACGACATTAGGAGCTTTAACACCGTGTTCGGAGACGATGCTGTCTGTAGAGAAACCAGAAGTAGCAGCTCGTAGCTGGTCGAAACTAAACTCCGTAAACGACGGCAAATCGTCAGTCCCGTTCTCTGTCGGAAGAAACAAACAACAAGAAAAAAACTTAACTTTATTTCTAGCAGAGAGAATGAAAATGCGGGAAAGTTAGAGACTTTGTTGTTTTCTCGGGAAAGTTACCTAGATCAGAAGTTTCGTTGAGAGTTGATTTGAGATGTGTTGGCCACCAACAGAGAGATAGCTTAGAGCAACGAGGTCCCATTTGGGCTATTGAAAGCTTTCGATCAAAGAAGATTTTTGGGAAGGTGGAAGATTTCTTCTTTGCTAAACTCGAAAAGCAAAAACCCTTTCTTTGTTTTTTTTCTTAGTCACTTTCTGAGAGGTCGAGAGAGAAAGAAAGAGGAAAAAAATGGGTTTTTGTGTTTTTATTTTTATTTTTGTTGTTCGAGGAGAAAGGAATCTGTGGAAAAAAGGAGTGAGAAAATTTATATAAGCGCACGTAGTGGAGAAGACAGTGGTGAGTGAAAAATTAAAGCCTTTTAGTTTTTTTTGTTACCGAGAAAACAAAAGAAAACGCCAAAAGAAAGAAAAAACGTTAAACTTGAAAAATACTGTAAAGTGTTTTACTTGTGGATCCAATG